TGCAAAAGCAGCAAAAGAAGCTTATGAAGGAAAAATACAATTACACTGGAGCACAGAAGTATTCACTTTAATAGAATGTTGTGTGTAGCAGCACCGTGCTGTAGTTTTGATTCCTGAAACTCGTGTTATGTTGGGGCTTTTATCTTCTGACATCCAGCCCTTTGCTACACATTTTCATTAGTCCACCAATGTCTCTTGCTCCCTGATAGCCCTGCCATTTGAGAAAGAGCTGTGATTGGTACACAGGGAGGTAGAGCTGATAATCTCTGTGCCAGGAAGTCTGAGGCCTCAGGACATGATCAGATTTGAGCACTTCGGCTGCAGGGTCTTCGCTAACTGTCTGGATGGAGATGCGCTCAATTCAATTTGTGGCAATTATTCTGAGAGAAGCAAATGCGCCAGAGTCGTGCGCCAAACCAGATCCTCGGAGAAAAATACTTAGTGCCGATATGTTCTTACCCTGCAGTTAGGGGAAAAGAACCACGGTATGAAGGAAAACAGATCAGCCCGGGAGGAGAGGCCGGCACGGAGCTGCACAGGAAGCAGTGGAAGTTAAAAAACGCAGTAGTTAAGGAAGGATGCTGTTGAGGCAGGGGGCATTGTAGCAAAGAGCCTAGGTAAGCTGTCCTCTGATGTCTTCCCAACTCTCTCCATCCTCTAAGAAGTGTGGTCCCAGGGTGGCCATTGGGCCAAGGTTGTCATGGAGATTTTGGGAGACATATTGTTCTAGCTCAGAGCCCTCTAGCCTTGCAGCAATGGAGTGCTGTAGAGTTGTCTCATGTAGAGAAGTCATGTGACTTGGACCTCAGAAAATGATCTCAAGATTCTGATAGTATCTAAACCACATTCCAATCATTTTACAGAACTTGAAAATTGATTGTAGTAAATAGGGGCGGCGGGGCTGCGTCCCCAGCACCCCGGCTGCCTGGCTAGCTTACGCCCGAAATAACAACACACAAACTGTATTCATTCTGCTTGGCCCATTTCTATCTAGCCTCTTCTAGGCTAATTCTCACATATTAATTTAGCCCATTTCTAATCATCTGTGTTGCGCCCCTAGGTGCGCTTACCGGGAAGATTCTAGCCTATGTCCATCCTGGGTCGGAGCTTCATGGCATGCGTCTGCCTGGGAGCTGGGAGCATGGCGTCTCTCTGAGGCGTCTGCTCCCGAGAGGAGAGCTGTGGAGTCTGAGCTCACTTCCTCTTCCTCCCAGCGTTCTGTTCTGTTTACTCCTCCCACCTATCTTCTAACCAATGAGGGCCAAGCAGTTTCTTTTTATTTAACCAATGACCTTCCTCCATCGATTGATGTGCTTCAATATAGAGACAACAAAGGAAAAAAATTATCTCCTCTTTTTTTTTGAAAGGTCTACACTTCTCACAGTGATTGAAAACTTTCATTACTTTTGAAAATCAAAATCACTAGTACATTTTGTATAGAGATGTAAGCCCGTGACTGCCCTGGCATGTACAGTTTTGTTGCCATTTTTTAAAAGATGCCAGCTAACTTGTATAATGGAATGTGTGTCACTTCATGAGGCAAGTGTGCTGTTCTGCTGAATCTGAATCACTTTGATATCCTTTTAAAATTAAGTTTCAAAGAAGCTTTACAAAGAAGCATTATAGTGACGTCTAAGACTGTATAGCTTCACGCTTATAGCCCTGCTTATAGGTTTGCTTTTAGGATGTGCTGAGAAGATCTCCCTCTAGGGCTTAGGTGCCTGGGATGGGCTTCACTTCCAAGCTCAGTGCATTTGCGCCTGGTGATAAAGGTTATCTGCCAAGAACTTGTCCAGATGGCCTCAGCCTGACATTTTTCTGCCATCCATTCCTTTGATGATTAGTCCCAATAGTGTGAGCAGTTATTGGTAGACTCCATGAGCAGTGCTTGCTGCCAGGCTCTGTGAATGATTCAAGTCCTGCAGAGGCCGTGTCCACGCATCACCTTTATCCTTCTTGGCTCAGCCATTACTATTTTCACTTATTATCAAAGTCACGTTAACCCATATTTGTGATAAGGAGTTTCTTGTTATTGACTTTAACAGTTTCCTACCTGCCTGGTCCCATACTCCGCATACACTCTGCCCTGTTCTCAGCAGTCTTGCATCTGGGAAGCTTAGGTTCACTTTTCAGGTCTGAGATGAGCTATCCCTCCACCCATAGGATGCCAATCCTAGACTACTACCTTTCTCAGACTTAACTAGTCCCCAGTGTCTAGCTAGAACCCAGGGCCTGTCTCATGGCGGTAAGTTAGACTGTTGTTTGTTCTGCTGCTTAGATAAGAAGAATGAGTGAATGTGTCTGCTGGAAGGCACCCTCTCTATTAATTAGATGAAGTATTTTGACTAATTGTCATGCCTCCATTCAAACAGTCCTGAATAGTCATATAATAATTTGTGAACACAGACACTGCACTAGTTCATTAACATTGGTCTAATAAAATTCCTTAGACTGGGTGGCCCATAATCAACAGAAATGCATTTCTTACAATTCCGAGTCTGGGAAGTGTAAGATAATGATGTTAGAAGTTCAGTTCCTGGTGAGGGGCTGATTTCTGGATTCCTGAAGATGCTTGCATGCTATGTTTTCATGTAGTGTAGTGATAACATCTCCTCTGTAAGGACACTAATCCTGCTTATGAGGGCTCCACCCTGGTGACCCAGTTATCCACCAAAGACTCCACTTCCTAACTACTGATGCCATTCGAATAAGCCCACAGGCAAATTAGGGTTTAGCATACTAAGTCTTAGCGTATACAAAGTTTCAGTTCATATGAGGCATTTAACCTATATTATACTCAAATAAAAACACATAAACACTTCATCCAGGTCAAAGCTTGAGACTTATACCAAAGGACAAGAGGGACACTCTGGATGGTACAGCATTCCCTTTCCAAATGTACTGAGCATTTGATAGATAACTGGAAATAATAGTGCAGAGCTGTGCAGGCTAACCCTGCTAACCCCGAGGAGCTCCCCAAAATAGTTGTGGTAGAGTCTCATCCTGAGCAAATGGGCATAGGGCGATCCAAAGTTCTGAAAGCCACAAAGTAAATGATTTTACCACCTTGCGCTAAGAATAAAAGGTCGCAAAGAAAGGTAATTATCAGTTGTCATCCTCTGCTATTTTCTGTAACAATGCTCTTCCTCTAAGGTAGCTGTGGAAAACCGGAGCTTGCAAGGAAGAGCGTGTGGAGGAGACAGCAGTCACGTTTGTGGTGTTGGTGGTTATATCATAAAATCTGCAGAGAGCACAAGGTGGAGAAGGCGATAACGTGGTCGTCAAAGTGCTCAGCCTTTCCTCTTCTCTCAGACTCAAAATCTGAGTGTTCGGAAAGTGTAGTTGAAGATTATTTCAGGGCCAGTGAGATGGCTCCGCAGGTAAAGGCTCATGCTGCCGAGATGAACTCCTGGCTTCAGGCCCTGGAAATTGTTCTCTGACTTCCTCAGAGGTGTCACGGTACTTCTGCACCAACCCACAGCCCCTGACCCACTCAGGGGTGTCATGGTACCCCTGCACCCTCCCACAGCCCCTGACCTACTCAGGGGTGTCATGGTACCCCTGTACCCTCCCACAGCCCCTGACCCACTCAGGGGTGTCATGGTACACCCACACCCTCCCACAGCCCCTAACACACTAAAGCAATCAATAAATGTATGCGTAAAGTAGCTTATTTCGACTGAAGCTTTTGTAAGTAGACATAAGCAAATAATAAACACCCCAATTTTATAATTTTTCATTTTATTTGACCTGATGCATAATAAGTGTCTAGCAAAAGAACTTCTCAAGCAGAGACAAAAATTCCAGCAGGGAAAGGAGAGTTGAGCATCAGTTCCCAGCCTTAGCTGAGGAACCGCTGGCGATTGGCAACTTCCGGGGGAGGAAGGGTCAAGTCCCTTTAAGGGTGTGCTTCAGTAGGTCGGTCACTTCAGCAGAAGGTCACATGTCCAGAGTATGTGGGAAGCACAGATGGGACTTGAAGAGCTTTTTATTTGTTTTCTGAAAAGGACATTTTATCAGATAGGTAAGGAAGGGGATGTAGATCCAGGAGGAGCTGGAGGAGTGATTAGGGAAAATAAAATAAATTTTAAATATCTAAATCATAAAACAATGGTGGATATCGGGATATTCTAGCTTCATTCTTTTAAGAGATTATGAGTTTTGTTTTACTGTTTTTATGAATCGGTAGGTGGAAAATAAAATCACGTACCTTTCTGAATTTTAATAACTATGATCGTTAAGGAATTTTCTTATGTTTTTAAAATTTTTATCATAACTATTCTGTTCTGCATTTCATCCTCCTCTGTCTCCCAATTTCAAAGCATTTTAGAGGCTTTAAATTCTGTTATTAATATCATTTGCTTTGAGAATGTGTAGCTTCTTGCTGTAACATTTAAAAGAAACAAAACCAAAAATGAAGTTATTTTTTGAGAAATGACCACCCAAGTTTCATAAATTTTATTTAAAAACTAATTCTAGTGAACAAAAATTTAACATGTTCAGAAACCTAGAAAATTGCAGCGCAGCAAGTGTGATGATATTAAGGATTTATTGTATTTTACAGGTGTGATGTTGTGGTTATAGTGATGGGTTTAAAAGATTTACTGTTTGGGTAACTGTTATTTGATTTAAAATAATACAATAGGAAAGAAAGTAAGTAGATAAGGATAAAGATTGACTGTAAATTAGTTATTGAGGTATATATAGTATAGCATCTACTTGGTGTATGTTTAGAATAATTTACAATTTAAAATTAAAATAAAAAGTTGCCTCTCCTCCAGGAGATTGGATAGCTTATGCCGAGAGAAAATGAATGTTTTTCATTTTCTTAGCAAAGCCAAGGTATTAGAATGGCAGTTTGTGGAATCCTTCCCCCGTGCTGGAAAGGGCTGTTGCAATTGTTTGGATGTATCTTCTCTGACGTTGATTTAATTAAGTTCTGTTAATGTCCACTCAACGAAATATATGTGTCTCAGAAGCATTCTGTATCTGTTTTTTAGGATTGTGGAAAAGGGATATTACAGCGAGCGTGATGCTGCGGACGCTGTGAAGCAAATCCTGGAGGCTGTGGCTGTAAGTAAAATAGCAGTGATGTGTGTTTACCTACGGGTCCTCACCTCCTACAAAAGGCATCTAGAACAGCGGGTGTGGGGTGAGCTCTACCATATAAGCAGCCGGGATGGAGTGTTGTAGGAAAACATACTTAATTAATGCGCTTAACAAGCTGGTTTCTCAAATCTGAAGGACACGCTGCCCCATAGGTTTGTCTAGCTACTTACGTTCTATCTTGATTTCATACTGGGCTCTAGAGTTTTACTTGTTCCCTAACATTTCCCTCCGCATTCTTTCCGTTTACTTCTTTGTTGGTTTCGTTGTTTTCTTCAGTTTGTTTGGGATGGAAGATGGTTGAATAAGGTAAACGTAGACCTGAAGTATAGAGATCTCTGCCTTTCTTTTAAAATAAGAAATTAGTGGACTTGTTGGAAAATGAATCTGCCCGTCCTGTTTCTGAGGAAAAACACAAGATAAAATTTTATAAAATAAAAAATTTATAAGGTTAGAGTAAAACCTTATAACTTAATTGTGGATGCAAGTACACATTTGCGAATATGTAAATTTCAGAATTCGTCGTGAACTTCGGGCAATTGTCTAGATGAAACAAATGTTTGACCATGCTGGCTGAAATCTTCCAATATAGTCACTGGTTTCTTTTTCCCACAATTTTTACTTTTATATATTTATATGTACATGTGCTTGTGTATGTCATGAGGTCAGAAAAAGAGTGTCAGGGTCCCTGTAACTGGGGTTCTAGACAGTTGTGAAGTGCCCTACCTGGGTGCGGGGGAGGGGGTGGCATTAGGTCCTCTGGAAGAGCAATAAGCCCTCCTCATTGCTGGATCGTCTCTCCAGCTCTGGGGACTAGCTGAGACACTTTAGTGATTCATTGCTGAGTATAAAGCCAAAACAAATTATTCTCTGAGCATACAGAACAGGTCCCAAGGGGGGATGCTTACTGGAATTAATTTTTTTAAAAAAATCCATACAGTCTTCCCATAATTAATTATAGTATTATTCAGTTAGCTATCATAAGAAAGCACCCAAAGGAACAAACACAAACACATGTCCCACTAATTTCACCTACAGGGAAAACAAGTGTAGATTGGGGAATGACTCAGTAGGAAAGAGTGTTTGCTGTGCAAACAAGAACAGACTTCGAATACTTAGTACATATGTCAAAACCGAGGCATTTCTTCTAGCTCTAACACTAGGGTAGGAACAAGTGGATTTCTACTGGCCAGTCACCTGAGCAGAAACATTGACTTTCAGTTTCACTGAGAGACCCTGTCTCAAAAAATAAGATCAAAGATGGCAATATGGCTCCGTGGTTAAGGGTGTTTGTTGCTAAATCCCGGGACTTGAGTTGACTCCAGGATATGTATGATAGAAAGAAAGAACTGAAATTTTTTCTCTATTCTCCAAACGTACATTTTGGCACATGGGTACTCTCTCTCTCTCACTTGCTAAATAAACAAATAACTATGATTTTAAAAATAAAGGAGTTTAACAATAGAAGATATTGAACATTCCCCATCTCCCCACATATTCTCACATGAGCATATCCTCACACATACATCAATATACTTACCAGAGAGAGAGAGAGAGAGAGAGAGAGAGAGAGAGAGAGAGAGAAGGGGGCCATAAAATTGTACTCTCATGTACGTCTATAGTTGGTTTTTTTTTTAATTCTTTTGGCTCTTCTACTCTTTGGGGACCCACCACCCATCTCCCAAATAAATCCACATGGACCCTTATTCTTTCTTATGAATGCCCAGCCTTAGCTTGGCTTATTTCTAGCCCGCTTTTCTTAAGTTATCCCATCTACCTTTTGCCTCGGGGCTTTATCTTTCCCTATGTCTGTATACTTTTCCTTGCTTCTTACTCTGTGGCTTTCTGTATAGCTGGGTGGCTGGACCCTAATGTCCTTCTCCTTCTCTTGCTTCTAGATCTTTCTTCTCTCTTTTTCTCCTATTTATTCTCTCTGCCTGCCTGCCTGCCCTGCCTATCCTTTCTCCTACCTTGCTATTGGCCATTCAGCTCTTTATCAGATCAATCAGGTGTTTTAGACAGGCAAAGTAGCACAGCTTCACAGAGTTAAATGCGAGATAAAAGAATGCAACACATCTTTGCATCATTAAACAAATGTTCCACATAAGCAAATGAACACACCTTAAAATAATATTCCACAACATACATCAGTCTTGGTTACATGAATATTGAATATCAAATTCATCTTCTCACTCTATAAAACAGCAGCCATATTCTAGCTCATTTTCTCCCCCAAGTTTCTTGACTTACAAGCTCGGGAATGGTTTTCATTGCTTTGTTCTCCCCTCACATCCACCTTTTCAACTGCAATTGGATCTCCCTTCCATTATCCCTGAACCCAATCCCAACCAGTGAGGTTTTCTGGCTCATGTTTCTAAAACATGCTGTTGTTTACCTCCAATTTCTGTTCTTAAGTCTATGCCTAGAGTGTCTCTTGTAATTACTGGTTTTGTTTTATAAGGTTTAAGTTCAATAATGGCAATATCACGTGTATATTAAAGACTTACTTTAATCTTTGAATCTTTTATTGACACACACATACCCAAATAAGGCCGGCAACAGGGGCACTGCGGGAGTCAGAGCTGAGTTTGGTTTCTTTGTACGTGAGTTTGGACATATCCCTATGTCCTTCTAGTCTTAGTTTTCTCTACCAAGACAGTAATATGGCTGTGGGAGAGGCTGAGAAAACATGCAAATCAAGGCCACAAGAGATTAGGGCAGCTGCAGACCCATTCAGCTGACTCTTCACTCGGTGGGGTAAATCCGGACAAATAAAACGATCGAACAGCTATATGCAGCTTATGAAAATTCAATACGTTTTAATGCGTTATATATTACACCAACTACCAACTAAAAGTTTAAACCCTGGGTGGTTTGGGGTGTGCACTGCGTCGCAGTCAGTCTTGGTCAGCCTCGCACGTGAGGTAATTGGAGTTTGTCAACCTGCTTTGGATGCTTTCGTGTTCCCTGCTCTGTCGTCTGGTGTTGGCACCACTCAGGAGCTTTTCTTCCTGGTGCATTGGCATATGTTCTGTTTTACATGGGCCAGGGTAGAGATGTGACAGGAGAGACACTTGTGTCTCTTGACGTAACCCTTTTCCCATGCCTACACCCTTCACGTGGCTGGTGCTCTTTGGTTCATCACAGAAGCTGTGCTTCCACTTGATAATGCCATAGGTGCCTCACAGAGATGAGAAACATGTTCTCAGCATTAGAATTTTCCATGGGCTGGAATTACATCAATTAAGGAAACAATGCGTCTAGTCAGGGATGTTCCAGATAGGGTGCCTTACTTAAAATAGTGGGACAAAGGCTCAAGACCTCTATTCTAGGCCTGAAAAGTTGATTGTTGTTAATCTTATGTATTTAAATTATCATTTTACCCACTCACAGAATTCTGGTTTAGATTCCAGACTACCACATTCAAACCAAACATCCTTGAAACAATCCATCAAAAGTTCTTTGAAACTAAGGGTTAACTTAAAGGAAAACAAAAATGAAAACCCCTTTTCTAAATGCTTCACAGGTCAAAAGCAAGGCAAGTTTAAACTTGTGACAAATTATTGACATTTTTGAAATAACTTGTCAACTATAAAACTATAGATAGCTATGAAAAATGGGACGTGTGGGAACTCAGAGTCATCTGAAGTCATGCCTCAAAAATGGAGACGTACCGCAGAGAGACAGAGGGATGCTCCACTTGCATAGGAAGCAGGACATGGTGACATTTTGGAAAGAGGCTCAGCAGGCGAATGATGAGTTCAGGAAGGGAACCGGCAGTGGTGTCAGCCGTAAGAAGTGTGGGGCAGATAGAACACTCCCCAGCACGCACATCCCTCCAGGCCACACCGTGAAGAGACTGTATCCAGGCTGACTGCCTCAACAGAAGCGGAAAACAGATTGCAAAGTTTGTGGGAAATATGCTGCAGGTATAAGTATATCTCTTACGTAACACACCTCCCAGTCCTCCGTCTTTCTCTGAGTGTTTCTCTGTCTTTCCTTCTGTAACTTTGCTACTTTCACTCCCCTGCCCCCTTTAAAAGCAATGATCAGAGTTTTAAAGTAAATTTAGATGATGTTCTCCCCTTTGGCTTTGGGTGAACTCACTCAGCCTTTTGAGGCAGGTCTTTTAGTCTTCCAGAGTATTGCTTCTCCTGGGATAAATTGCTGTAGTTACTGGTTAAATGGTCTGAAGTGCTCGGGATGTTCTGGAAGAGTTGCCTTGTCCAGCACAACATCATCTCTAAGCAGCAAGGACAATGAGAAAGTGTTCTCTCTGCCGCACACCTCTCTTGGCTGTCACCATTGCCAGTTCCTGTCTTGTAGCCACCTCTCACCTGCTGAGCCTGTTTCCAGTATGTCACCGTGCCCTGATTCTCTCCCCGGTGAAACCTTCCTTCTTGTTGGCTAGCCACAATTCTCTGCGGTACATCTCAATTTTCAAGGCATGACTCCAGAGCCTCGAGACACTTGTGGAGTAGAGAACTAAAAAAGATTTAAACTCTCGGAATATGGTTGAGAATTTGCTATATGTATTGTCACAGAGCTTTTTGCTTAGAATTGCGTGATGGTGGTGACCAAGAATTGCAAACCAAAGCATTAAAGTCATCAAGATGGTGAAAAGTAATGGGTAGTTGAGGCAGGAAGAAGGCTGGGTGGGTAAAGTGCTTCTTGCATTCGCGTGAGGACCTGAGTTGGGATCCTCAGCATCTGGGTAAAAGCTGGGGCAGGGAGACAGGCAGATCCCAGGATCATTCTGGTCAGTTAGGGAATTGAAGTTTCTGTGGGAGGTTCTATGTCAGTCATGGTCCATTGTCACGGTGGCCCAGTGAGGAAGAGGGAACCTCATTTAAGGAACTGTCTCCTTTAGATAGGCCTGCAGCCACTTCCGGGAGGCATTTTCTTAATTACTAATTGGTGTAGGCAGCCCCAGTGTGGGTACTACCCTCCTGAGGCTGGTGAACCTG